AATTTTTTAATCACCTTTTCATCAGTACCTGTCAAAATCTTATCTAAGTCAGTCAGTTTATCATAGAAACCTTCTGTTTTAGAATCTTTGTCATACCTTGAATGTATTTGCGCATATGATTTGCACAATTCATCTTTATACCTTTTTCCTCTAATTTTTGCATAGATTTAAGTTCACCCCTTTCATTCAATATTTCACCATATCTAACTGTTTGTTTCTTTTTATATATTATAGGATAAGAAAATGCTTCAATAGTCGATAGCCAGACTGGAATTTTCAAATAACATTGCCTTTTAGTCTTCTCCCAGTTTAACCACAGAGACTCCTGTATATAATGTCTTCTAAAATACCCGTGTTTTAGTTCCTTTATACCATAAAAAAGCATGCCACCCCAACAACAGATCATGTCCTTCTAATGTCAGCAATCTAGTATTTCTTAATGTTATCCATTCCTTAACCCAAATCAAATTTGTAGCTTGGTAATACAACTCCCAATTAGGCAAACCAAATCCTCCTCTTATTGTGGCATCTTGCAAAAGTTTTAACTTTATTCTCGCTTTCTTACCTTGCCATATATATTTCAACACAATTTTATTTAAATCTTCAAAATAATCTTTTCCAAGCCTAACTGGAATTGTTTGAAACAAATATAAAATTCTGGGTAATATATTCATCATGATTGTTGATATTCTCTCTATTAATGACAGTTGTAAATTTTCCCATTTCGTCAAATCTAGCGCCATCTGCTACTTAAGTTTAATATAGTTATTCTCTTTTAGAGTACTACATCTTGCTGTCAAATATATCCCCAAGTACTTGATCTTACTCGTGACCTGGATTTTCAATACATCCGCGAGTTCTTCCTTTTGTCTTGATAGCATATTCTTTGTCAAAATCTTTGTTTTGTCTTTATTTATTTTCGAACCAGCCATCTTTCCATATGCCTCTATCTTTTCTATCAATTTTGATGCTGTTTCTAGTGGGTCTTCTAAAATGAAAACTAGATCATCTGTGAATGCTTGCAACTTAAATTCTTCCTTTTTAATTTTCATCCCTTTTATATCCTTTACTTCTCTAATATTTCTGTTTAACACTTCCAAGGTTAACACAAAAAACAAAGGTGATAGTGGGCACCCTTGTCTTGTTCCTTTTCTTATATTAATAGATTCTGTCAGTTCTCCCTCTATCATTACCTTTCCCGTCTGCTTATGATATATAGCTTCTATTGCTTGAATAAATTTTTTACCAAAGCCCATCTGTTCCAGCTGTAATAACATGAATCGCCAATTCGCATTTGTTAGATCTGGGAGGATGGTTCAAGAACGGAGGCAAGACTCAGATAGCAACAACAGCTCTTTATTAGTGACTTCAGATCTGAGCGAACTATCCCAGCCGCAGCAGCCCCTTATTTTTTTTTTTTTTTTTTTTTTTTTTTTTTTTTTTTTTTTTTTTTTTATCAGAGTTGCAGGCTTCGAGCCTGCTAGTCCGGAACACCCCTCACATCTCGGTTCCGTTTAAGGGGTGGAGTAATATAGTCTCGCAGGTAGGCAGGTCTTTGCACCTGTCTACCTGACTTACGCAATTCCAATTGTCCATGTTCAAATTCAGGTTCAGATGGACTGTTTGCTGGATCTAGCAGAAATGGTGAACCGGTGCCATGGTTATGGCTCTCCTCTGATGCCCCCGGGGTGATAGAGTCCTCAGCTTCGTTGCTACTGCTCTGGCTCCCCGGGCTCGCTGAACCTGCTTGGCTGCTGCTTCTCGGTGAAGTGTTCGTCTGCCCAGGTTCAACTACAGCTGGTGAGTATTGCAAGCTATGGTGTGGTGATCTCGGTGTTAGGTCAGAATAAACAGGTGTTGGTTCTGTTTCTGGGCTCACGGCTTCCTCTCCCCGCCCGGTGTCAAAGTTAGGGTCAGGGGTGGACATTGTGGTCAGTCTGGAACGTAGCTGGTCAATATGACGTTTCCATGCTCTGCCATCAGTGGTGAGTAGACAGTAGGAGCGGGGACCCGTGACTTGAGTTACTTGGGCAGGAATCCAGAGGGGATCCCCAGAAATTTTTTTTGCAAATACAAGGTCTCCTACCTTAAAGGCACGGTGCTTGCTGCTGGAACCCAGGGGCTTTTCCGGGGTGTAGGCAGGGTGCAAGCGGTCTAGAGGCGATCTGAGTTTCCTGGCCATCAGGAGTTCAGCTGGGCTCTTGTTGGTCGTACTGTTTGGTGTGATGTGTTGCAGAAGCAGCATTCTAGTGACTTTGTCGTGGATGTTACCTTGTTCCATTTTCTGCAGGGTTTTCTTTGTAAACTGAACCATTCGTTCAGCCCTACCATTCGCCGCAGGATGAGCCGGCGATGTGAGTGCGTGTCGGATGCCCCGTTCCGCTAAATACTGTTCAAAGGCTAAGGCAGTAAATTGGGGACCATTGTCAGAAACCAGGACATCTGGTAGGCCGTGTGTGGCAAAGAGTCTGTTCAGTTTTTTGATGACTGCCTCAGTAGTGGTTGCTTTCATTTTATTGACCTCAAGCCAGTTAGAATATGCATCTACAGTTATTAAGAAAGTGTGGCCTCTAGTAGGTCCTGCAAGGTCAATATGAATGCGAGACCAGGGACCCCTGGGTGTTTCCCATTCTGCTGGTGGAGCTTTTGGTGGGGCTGAGTGGTTTTCCTGGCATCTGTTACAAGAGGCGACCCAGGTTTTGATTTGTTTGTCCATACCTGGCCACCAGGCGTAACTTCTTGCCAGCGCTTTCATACGCACAATGCCCGGGTGTCCACCGTGTAGCATTTGCAGGACTTTTTTTTGTAACTTAGCTGGTACAACAACTCGGTCTCCCCATAAAATACACCCTCTTTGTGAAAAAAGTTCGTTTGTCTGTTTTTAAATGGCTTAAAGATTTCCTTAGGGTCGTAATCTGGCCATCCCCTCTCCACCCAGCCAAGAACTCGTGCCAAACAAGAGTCTCTTTTGGTTTCAAAGGCGATGTCCTGGGTCGTTAGTGGAGGTGAGGGCATTGTCTCTACTTGAAGTACTGGGAGCGTGGGATCTGGGTCTTCCTGTGGCTCGGGTAGTGGTGAGCGGCTCAAGGCATCTGCGTGAGGAATAGATTTCCCTGGGCGATACTTTAATTGATAGTCGTAGGCAGTGAGAAATTCCGACCATCACGTCATTCTGGGGGAGAGAATGTGTGGAGTAGGTTTCTCGCCCGCCAGAATGCCAAGTAGTGGCTTATGATCCGTTATAATAGAAAATGGTCTCCCATAGACATATTCATGAAACCTTTTAATTGCAGAGACAATAGCAAGAGCTTCCTTATCTAAATGGCTATAGTTTCTTTCTGTTTTTGATAGAGTCCTTGAAAAAAAATGCAATTGGTGCCTCTGAGCCGTTCGGTAGGATGTGGCTCAGGATGGCCCCCACCCCAAATGGTGAGGCATCACAAGTAACGGTCAAGGGGAGTGTCTCGTTATATTGAATTAGTACTGCTTTAGAGGTGAGGAGGTCTTTTACTTGCTGGAAGGCGTGTTCCTCCCGATGTCCCCAAATCCAGGAGGCCCTTTTATCGAGTAGTCTATGAAGGGGCTCAGCAACAGTCACCTTCTGGGGTAGGAAGATGTTGTAAAAGTTAATAAGTCCCAGGAAGGCTTGGAGGTCAGTTTTGTTTTTGGGTCTTGGGGCATTTTTGATAGCTGCCAATTTCTTTTCTGTAGGGTGGATTCCTTGTTTGTCAAGGAGGTAGCCAAGAAACTCCACCCTTTCTGTGCAAAGCTGGCACTTTTCCTTCTTAACCTTGAGGCCAGCATCTTTGAACCTCTGTAGGACTTTTCTGAGGCGTTTCTTTAATTGACTTTTTGTGGTTGCTGCTATTAATACGTCATCAAAATAGGGCACGACCCCTTTTATACCTTGTAATAGTCTCTCCATCAGGCTTTGAAAGATGCCTGGGGCTACACTTACGCCAAACTGGAGCCTGTTGCATTTGTATGCACCACGATGTGTGACTATAGTTTGGGCTTCTGCAGTCTCGGGATCAACTGGCTGCTGTTGATACGCTTGGGCCAGATCTAATTTTGCGAATATTTTGCCACCCACAAGTGAATGCAGGAGATGTTGAACAACTGGTACTGAGTAGGCGCTCTGCTGTAGTGCGTGATTGAGGGTGGCCTTGTAGTCACCGCAGATTCTTATGGACCCGTCAGGCTTTATGGGGGTGACAATTGGTGTCTCCCATCGGGCGTGGTCAATGGGTTCTAACACGCCTTGTGCAATTAATTTGTCCAGTTGCTCATCAATTTTGGATTTGAGAGCAAAGGGAACGCAGCATGGCTTTAGGCGAATGGGTGCAATGTCGGGGCGAAGATTAAACGAAATAGGGGACCCCTTGTACTTGCCTAGGCTTTCGTTGAACACTTCTCAGAAGTCGTGGACGAGGGCCACCTCCCAGTCATCGTCGTCAGTATGATGGATACCAGCCATTCCGATTCCTAAAGGTGCAAACCACTGAAGGCCCAATAGACTTGGCCGGTCTCTGTCTACGATGGTGAGTGGTAGAATTACATTATGTCCCTTGAAAGAGACCTGGAAATGGCGGGTACCTGCGACTGGAATCCGGTTGCCCTGATAGTCTTTCAGTATGAGTCTCTGACTGCTGAGGTCTTGGCGTCGGATGTTGGAAATCAGCTGCTTGAGTGTTTTCCAGGATACCATGGATAGTGATGACCCAGAGTCGACTTCCATGATGCACGGTTTATTTTCAATGGTGACCTTTACTCGGATTTTTTTAGCGTTAAATGATGATGCGTGGCCGATGGTGATGGTTTGATGTGCCTCCTCTCGTCTGGGTGTGCCGTTAAACCTTCGGGGTCTGTTGTACTGGTTCCACTGGTTGCTAGGGTGGTCCCTCTGTGTGGTGGAGTTGCCATCATTCCTCTTTGGGCTGCTCCCTCTCCGTCTGGGGCTGGAATTTCTCTTGTTTCTGCATACCTTCGCGATGTGCCCTCGTTTCTCGCAAAAGCGACACATGGTATCTAAAAATCTGCATTCGGATCGAGGATGGTTTCCCCCGCATCCAGTGCATTGGTAGTTGGATTTACGACCCTGCTGGTCCTGTTGCTCACGTTCTGACCAGAGTCTGTGGACTTCTTCCTCCTCGCTGTCTGAGGATGACTCGACATCTTCATGATGGGTGGTCGATGTGTACTTGTCTGAAGGTTTCCCAGCATCGTTGGTGGGTTGGCGGTTGGTTCCGCTGGTTCGGCGCATTCGTGCTGCTGTTTTACGAGTGGCTTCAGCTGCGGTGGCATCTGCTATGGCATCTGCAAGCGAGATGTCTCCCTTGGCCATGATCTTGCTCTGGACGGTTGGGGTCTCTGAGGCCAAGGACAATGCGGTCTCTCATGGCTTCTTCGAGGTTGGCGAAGCCACACAAACCACCCAGGTTCCTCAGGTCTGCCACAAAATCCCCAACGCTCTCACCTTCAAGCTGGTCCCTCTTGTAGAACTCGTGTCTGCGAATGAGAGTTGGTACTGCTGGAGTGTAATGGTTGTGCAGGATGGGAGCAAGGGTGTCCCAATCCATGGTTTTAACCTCAGCTGGCTTGGCTAAGGCTTTAGCCATCTTAAAAACGGCTGGCCCCCAATGGGTTAGAAAAACGGCTCGTTTCTTGCTAGGCGTGGCATCTTTGAGGTTGTTGGACTCTAGGAACATTTGAAATCTGTCCATATATGAGTCCCAGTCCTCGCTAGCTGGATCGAATGGGGGTGGTGGTATAACGCTGCTGGCCATGTCGCCGTCGTTGCGCTCTGTCAGCCACGTGCTCCTTCATCTAGTTCAAATCAGTAGACTTCGTTGCCTCCGCATCCCATCCTCGTCGCCAGTGTTAGATCTGGGAGGATGGTTCAAGAACGGAGGCAAGACTCAGATAGCAACAACAGCTCTTTATTAGTGACTTCAGATCTGAGCGAACTATCCCAGCCGCAGCAGCCCCTTATATAGGGCTGGCTGCGGCTAGGCAGCCAATGAAGGCAATTTGAGTTTGCCGCTCTTGGCAGGGCCAATCGCGGCAGCCCGTTTACTGGCCAATCGCATCAGTCTATGGCGACCAATCACGATCGGCTATTCGCGGGCCAATCAGAGTTGCAGGCTTTGAGCCTGCTAGTCCGGAACAACATTATCAGATGCCTTCTGTGCATCTAAAAATATCAAAGCCATTTGTTTCTCAGGGTGTGCCTCATAGTATTCCAAAGTGTCCAAGATTACTCTCATATTGTCTTTAATTTGTCTCTTTGGCAGAAATCCATTTTGATCAGGGTGGATAAAATTGTTTAGGTATATTTAACCTTATTCGTAACTTGAATTTTCAATAAATCTGCCAGTTCATCTCTTTGTTTTAATAACATATTCTTTGTCAAGATCTTTGTTTTATCTTTGTTTATTTTCAAGCCTGCCACCACACCATACATCTCTATCTTTTCCAGTAGCTTTAAAGCTGTTCCTAGAGGATCTTCCAAAATAAAAACCAAATCATCCGCAAAGGCTTGCAATTTAAATTCCTCCTTCTTAATTTTCATTCCTTTTATATTTGGATCCTCTCTAATGTTTCTATTCAGCACTTCCAAAGTCAATACAAATAACAAAGGTGATAATGGGCAACCTCGTCTTGTGCCTTTTCTTATATTAATAGAATCTGTAAAATCTCCCTCTATCATTACTCTTGCCGTTTGTTTGTCATATATGGCTTCTATTGCTTGAATAAATTTTCTAGCAAAGCCCATCTGTTCCAATAACAAAAACATGAATCTCCAATTCACATTATCAAATGCTTTTTG